TGTTCACTTGTAAAGACATAAGGACAACAACAAATTCATCATTAGCAAAAGGTTTTTAACATTCCCAGGAAGAATCTTGTAATTTTAAACTTTAGATGAATAGCGAATTAAATGTTTTCGAYATTGTAAAGAGGTTTTAGAACAATTACATGATATGCAAATGACTTTGTTGTTTTCTTTACAACTAAATAACGTTWAATGGAACTGACTTTATGTCAAAAWGGATGTAGTGAGTCAGTCATAGTGTGAACGCAGTAAGATAGTTTGTTTTCATTAATACGCGAAACAAAGTGTGGTTGCCAAGTAGTAGTAAGTTTTGATACAATTAAGTAAACAAAATAAACTTCCGAAATAAGGAGAAATGAAGTGTAGGACGCCAAAATGTATTTCACGGGTTGGGAAAAACAAGTTAATAATCGCTATTTAGCGACTAACGATCGTTACCACTGGCCAGAAATGCGACTGTTTAAAACTAATTTTTGTTCTAAATAAAATATAGTAAAAACAGTTGAGTTCATGAAATCCACAATAGAAAAAAAAACAATATAAAAGAATTGCAATAAGAGAAATAAAGAAAAAAATGACGGTTCGCATACCTATAACTTCACCTCTTAAGCGTGTACTTTTCTCTCCTTTAAACTAGCAAAGTGCCAAGCTCGATGAAGCCGCGTTGTATTTATTGAGAGCGGGAGGAAACGCTTCTAGTGAAGTCTGCATGCGCAGGCGGAAGGAAACAATCCAAGGTTGGTACAGCCGATAAAAAAAACGATGTAAAGGTTTATTAGACTKTGGGCCGTTAATCAAAAGTATATCTATAGATATAAATCTAATAAGTGCCCCCAACAAGTAATTTGTTGTTATTGTTACTAGCTAAAATCCAGTATTCATCTAACAGATCGAAAATTGCGGGGAAAAAATATCAGTTGTGTCAAGTTCTTTGTTCTTTTATTACACTAGTTTTGAATTGCAGTGATTACTATTTGTATAAAACTTGAGCTAAAACATATATGAATGATGTATATTTAGTTTTCATTTCTTTGTTGAGCTAAATCGGAACAAGATAAAGAATTACTTGTCGCAATAAATGAAAAAAGGAATCTACTGGGAACTKGACGAAAAAGTAACTAAATTTGACATATTTCTTTTGATAGAATGCTGGCTTTCTTTAACCCGTGAAATAAAGTCATAATGTGAGTGCAACAAAGTGTAATACACAGAAAAAACAAGTCAAAACGTTCAACATATAAAATAATAAAGAGACTAAAATGTATTTCACGGGTTATTGAAAAACTCTCTATGAAAAATAAACTCTGAGTATGTCAGTTTTCAGATCAAAATTGACAATGAATCGATAAAATTACTAAAAACACGTTTTTCAGTGTTCCGTATGTTAATATGGCTATAATATAAAAAATCAGCTGATACAGTAAAAAAATGCGTTTTTTATAAATGTTTTAAGAAAAAAAGTCTGTAATATGATTTGTACAAATGTCATAATCCTTCATGCGATATGAAAGTTAAGTAAGTTTTAATCTTGTGATGYTTGCATTGTTATTTATGATGTAAACTATCCAACGCAAGCATTTTTTGTTTGTCAAAATATATTTGATATATCGCTTGTTTATTTCGCTTGCCCTTCACGAGGTCCGGACGCTTGAAAATTGTAATAAATGGAAAAAAATCAGATTAGATATATTTTGACAGCGCGGAGATTAAAAACTGCTGATTTTTATTCCGGACTGATAGGATTTTACTTTTACTTAACTTTTCGAGAAAAACATWTATTGACGATTTTATGTTTGCTGCATTTGGAAGTGATAGATTTTAAAATTTAATATCTAGGCAACAAGTTTTGCTGACTCCCACAACTTTCTTGTGAATCAAAAGACTACGTTTTGTCGAAGCAATTTATTTGAAATAWTTAAACATGATTATGTTACAAACTAACATTTAAGTAACTTTATCAAGTAGTTAAGCTGTTTCTTATTTAAATCCGTCTAGAGAATCGTTCCCCGCGGCAACTGCAAGTTATGCATCTCTAAAATCGAAACTGGAGATTCAAGTCATGTGATTGAYTTTTGCTGAAGAGRTCATTTTAATATCGCTGTTAAGAAAATTAGCTCACAATAATTTCAAATATATCCAGAAAGAAAATTAACAGATCCGTAATTTTTTCCTTGAATGAAACTTTAAACTTGCAGTTTTTCCACCGAGTTTCATTTGAAACATTCAATTATATTCTGTGAGTGAGTCGTTAAATTGTGATTATTCAGTGAACGATAATTCTGAACTTGCTTGTGTCCCAAATTTGTTGGGTTTTTATTCTTATACTCTTTTTCATCGACCAAGTTTCATTTGAAAACATTTAATTCTGTAAGTGAGTGTTAAATTGTGTTTATTCTGAACGCTATCACTTCTTGAAACGCACATCTGTTGATTCTCACGATTTCATCATTTTTTCCGTTAATTCAAAGACGTATTTACTGCAGTACTTTGTAGTTTATATTGCATGTTTTGGTGTGTGCTCTTACAGTCCACTTCAATGGGYTTTGAACTTCTTTCATTTAGAGGTTCTCAGAGCATGACATTTATGAAACTTCATTAAGTATATCGCTATTCGAATAAGGATCKCTACCTTCTATCTAAAAATCTAAAAAAAGAAAAAGCTAAAAATCCAGTAAAAATAATTGTATAAAATGGACTTGATTATGAAAAGATTAAATCAGTGTTCTGATTACGAGATAAAATAACGCATCGAAAGAGAATCATAACATTCCTAGTTACAACACTAATGTTTATAAACTCCTCGTTTTTTATATTTTTTATAATAAGTAGCGACAAATTGACAAATTGCGACTTTGAAAAGTACCAAATTTAGTTAGGTGTTAATGAATGGAAGATCATACTAGATAAATCTATCCTGAAAGTCTGCAAGACACTGTACAAGATTCGAAAGGGTTGGATGAAAGATCAGTTTCCTCCACTTTAATGGCTAAATTCAAGAGCAAAGATGTTATAAAAGTCTTCAATTTAGGAAATAATTCATTAATAAAAATCTCTTATTTTGCATCTAAAATTCACTTATTCGTTTTCTTGGAGAGGACATTGACCATCAAGGTACTACATGGAGTCGACTTGAAAAAACAGAATTTTTTCCTTGAATCTTCTAATTACGATGGAAACCGCGCGCAATGAAGTGGGCGACCAACAATCATGACGTTATCCCTGCTCGGCCTACGTCGTTTAAGTTTAAGTGACGTGCAGTTGCGCCGTTCGTTTACACTTACGAATCTCGATATATCCGAAGCCTCGAACAACTTTTTTACAATATTTTTGGCGCTTGCACTGTAGGAAGACATCGGCGATCTCTTTCAAATGAATGCCCATAAGAACTTGCGATAAACAAAATATTCTTACATGCGTAGCGAAGCCTCGATAATTTGTTTCATGAACGGATCCTCTGCTTCTGAAAGTGGCCTTAATTTTGGTAACTTTGAWTGGCTGCACCATTTTAACGTCAACAAAATATTATATCATGGTTGTTGTGATTAAGGTCGATTTATCTCAGGCAGCTCGAGTTGAACTTTTACATGCAACTGTAGATGACTGTAACTTAAATGCACGGTCTAAAAACGATAAAGCAAGATAACGTTTCTAGTAGAGTTTTTCCACAAAGAGAGAATGRAAGAAAAAAGCATATTGACTGTAATTCATAATATACGGGTATAATTTAACAAAGGTAGTGTTTTAATCGAAATTTCATCACAGACTCGCCGTAACTGTGGTTTTTCTCACTTTTTTTTATTAAACTGTTATATATTTAAGAGTCAAATCAGAGTCAAATGAAACTCGAGAAAAACATGTTAAAGCTTTGATGCCGCTTACCTGTTATGTAATGATAAACTCACTCACTTTCGGCAACACTTATGAGTGAAGATCAAAATGAACAGAACTGATCTAAAATGCAAACGCTCTTGTTTATATACTCGACTTAAACAGCGATATCTAAATTACTTGGCAACACCATTCGTATAATAGATACCTCCCTCTATTTATCGTATAATAGCAACTTTTTGTCAATCTCGCTTCTGCGATATGAAAATGACATTGAGGAAAATTCTTTAGAGTTTAAATGTGATACCCGGCGCGAGGTCACAAAAATGCTTTATAATATACCTCTTTTTCACGTGTTTAGTTAGTTTGTTTGATAATAGCCTAGATATATTACCAGCAGCTAAATGACCTAGAAACCGTCAATGAGACTAGCTGATAACTCAAAATTCTATAACACTTTCACGCAAATTAACAAAACAAAGGAACATGAAGAAAATGATCAAGAATTTGTTTGCAAATTACCACATAATATCAGTTACCATTTGTAGAATTTTGATTGCAAGTATTTGGAATCCTTAGAAACTCCGTGTATATATTAACATTTTTATTAAAGAATTTTTTGTATTACTACCTACATCATTAGCGATAACAGAGGTAGTGTAGGGCCTAACATCGAGCCCTGCGGTAAACTTTTTCAATGTCTKCGGAAGTCTTTCAGACGTTTTTAGTTGTTTTTCTTTTTTCCTTTACTTGTTTAGATAAGTTGGATCAAATCAAAACATAACCAGTCAAATAAAAAGTGAAAAATCCTTAGCTAAGGAGTTAATGATAAAATTAAGYTCAAGCTTTCGAGTAACTATCGGTAAAAGACTGGATCGATATTTTCACTTCGCTCAGTCCACCACGCGTCCATGTAGCGAACGCAGACAAATGTAACCGAATGTGTATGCCATTAATACATGTGTTAAGCRGATCACTAGTAATAGCCCGGMAAATAACAACAATTTAAAACGCTATAAAAAGTCACTTAAACAGATGACGGAAGGATTTTTGAAATACATAAAGAATGGGTATCATAGTCACTGCGATTACGGACCGGAATGAGCCTTTTAAAGAAAATCTTTCTGAAATTATTATCAGTGAAAGCAGTTTTGTTAGTAGAGTAGTTTTTGATAAAAGAGATACGTGCATTTAGCCTACATGCATGCGATGATATTATGGCTATATCATGTCAAAATAACTTACTGAAATCTAACCAAARCTCAGATTAATTGGTGTATCACTTACGACAATACATCAAAGATGATAAAAGCCACTTAAAAAACACAGTAAAATCGTCTTKYAATCATGGGGATTGTATTTGTGAGTTTATTAAAAAACGAATATCGTTTGATTTTAGTGGCATTGAGGTTGCTTAAATTATAATGGTGGGAGCTAACGGTAAACTAGTGGGAGAAACAACTGTGGTAAAAAGATAACTTTAACAGGCCGTAAAAAATAGGCTAAACAACTTACTGACGTTTCGGATRTTCGTCGGAGTTAAATAAACGAAGGACTAACGTCGACAAARCGTCAGTAAGTWTTYTCACCTATCTTTTACGGTGTTAAATTAATCTTTTTGCACAACTGCTTGAATTATAGATATCATAGCTTTCCATTATGAAAGACACAGAATTTTGTCACTATTATTAGTTTATATATATCACCAGGTCGAGATTAAAACTTTAATTTGATAACTTTTTTGTGAAAAAGTGATCAGCGATTTAGCGTATTGGTCCGTATATACTATATACTATATAATTTTAATTATTCACAATTTAACAAATTTACGTGAAAGCTTTCAATGACATAACGGCAGACAAATATGACTGACACGCTCCACCTTTCACGCTTTACTTCAGTTTGCGAAACGTACAACAATTTAAACCAAATTAGAGCAAAACGTACAACAATTTAAACCAAATTAGAGCAAAACGTACAACAATTTAAACCAAATACAACAACTTTTCAAGTTACTCGGTGTACAGAACAGAACAGAACAGAACAGAACAGAACAGAACAGAACAGAACAGAACAGAACAGAACAGAACAGAACAGAACAGAACAGAACAGAACAGAACAGTGGGAAATCTATCATAATATTTAGCACAAACTCAAACGGTACACTATCAGCATATCCTACTTTATTTGTAGGTTACAATTTTAACCCAGCTGTCAATAATCAAAAAGCAGTAAATCAATTGAGATCACGTTCTTTCATGCAGCTAACTCGTTACCACGCAACCACGTGGGCAAGTGAATATAAATAAAGTTGAAAAGCCATTTAATTAAATGATAAATATTCAAGTAAACCTGGTAAACGTGAAAACAGCTGAAATCTTCTACAATATATAATTTTGAAAATATTTGACAAGAATTAGATGTGTAGCAAATAAAGGCACTTCATTTAGCATGYATAAACTTAAAGCGCTTGCAAACGTATTTTTTGTTGTAACATACAGTCAAGGAAACAGCCTTGATGATGATTTATCTGAGTGCCTATGAAAATATAACGATAGAATTCACTTCTCAGTGAGACGGAACACTTGCTGAGCMTCAAAGAGAGACTCACTTATTTGTTTTCACTTGAAGTTTATGGCTTTCAAACTGTGTAACTGAATTTTCAATACTATGGAAAAAGTGTTTTTGCTATAGAAACTGTAATTGTGYTGATAAAGTTCATAAATAAATTAAAATAGTTTTTATTTAAGATCGAATAGATTTAATGGCGCAATTTTAAGGGAAAAAACAGAAATCTTACCTTCTGTAATGAAAAAATATCCTCGTGTCATGACGTTATAACACTCCAATCGCGAAACGGTTTAGCTAATAATACACTTGAAGCTCTTGAACTGCTGATAGACTACAGGAAAAACCGTATTGTATACGAATAGCGAATGGCAATTAAAGCCAACCTTGCTGGGGTCACTGTCGGTGTGCTTGGGCCTCTTGTTAATTCAAATGTATAATATTGCTTTCGGAAATTTGAGTGATTACTGGCAAATCATTGTAATTAATAGTCTATGGTGCAATACTTGACGAGGAAATAGAGTTTTCATTTCGGTAATCTTTGTTGTAATTATTTCAAGTTATGTATTATTACAAATATCCAGCATTATAATTCGTCATATTTYTTGTACTTTGTTGATCACTATCATGCTGTTTCTGTCCGACTAGGATTCTCTAAATGTGAGACCGAATATGTAGTCGGACAAAAGATGTAATATGAAAAGACGAGTTTTCACAAGACTGTCCAGGAAAATATCCAACCAAACCCCAGGGCTGGGTTGTTCAAAGCCCGATTAGCGTTAATCCAGGGTTAATTCCATAGGTTTTCTAAGAGTTAACCCAGGATTAGCCGCGCTAATCGGGCTTTTTTCGCACTGCATGCATACTTTCCCTGATGCCGATCGGAGAGRTTAAGCGTGGGCAGGAATTGTCCACACACTCAGGTGTGATCATGCGCATATGGCGATCTTGTACGATTTTTTTACGTTATTTTGTTCACTGTTTATAGCTTGTTTTCTTCATTTATTTAAGTCTCCTGCTGTAACTAGAAATATCAACAATAGTCAAAAGAGAGCCCAATGTGTTAAACTACCAACGCCGAGCCTTCGTTTTCTTGGCCAGCGGTTAAACCGCACCACAAATCACGGCGCCTGAAAGTATCGAAGTTTCATAAAAAAATTAAAAAACGCAAAACAGGACAAAAGTGAACCCTAAACCACATAACCGCAAAACTTTTGCTCTTCCTGTCTAGTGCTCTCTGAGGGCTACCACTAGTCAATTTTCCATGAAGTCTTGGAGTCAAATTGTCCAATAGTCAGGGCCTCCAGGAAAAGAGCACTGAAGAAACTTACCAATTTTGAATTTTCTTTTTGATTTTGAACATTTGAARAAACTTTTTYGAACAACTAAATCAAAAAWGATAATTTCTAAATATATAATGAACTTGAATTTGTTAATTTGTTCCGCGATTGATATGTAACGATGCTGTTTCTGTATAAAAAAATTTTATCATATAATTATTTATGAAATACCTATATTTTCTCCATTGCGTAAAGTTGATATCTTCACTAGTGAAAATAACACATTCGAGGTTTCTCTATATAGTGGAAGTAAGAAAAATAGCTATTTTACGGCATAATTTGCTTTCATATGTAATTATATGATAAACAGAATATTATATGAGCGCTTGGAGATACGAATTTTATTTTCTCGTGTTTAAAATCTCTAACTCGTTCGCTATGATCACTCGTGAGAGAGATCTTTTCAACACTCTAAGATAAAATCCGTATCTTCACGCGCACATGTAATATCCTCTATATCATTATCCAATTCGATTGCTGGTAAGAGAATTTTTATATTATCTTATTTATCAAAGTCTCTGTGAATCTAGCAGCCTACTTATGTTCTACATAGTTTTAAATTGTGATAATGTTTGATCTATATGAGTATTGAAATTCAGAGCATTACGTCAAAAAAGTATTGTGAACCTGTAGCCATGAGCGTCACATTGAGGAAGAATGCAATTGGGAACGAGCGAGTAGTCATACTCAACTKAGGCTAKATTTTATCCTGTTGTTAGAGTAGCTGTGACTTGAGTCGCTAGGCTTACAGATCTTTTTCATGGTCCCTATATACTAATTTACGGGACAAATGAAATCGCTTCAAAAATCTTCTTAGTAACTCCTATTATTATAAGAGAGTTGAATATCCTAAAATAGGACTGGTTCTTTAAAAAAAAAAACAAGGATAAAAAAAGAGAAAGACGTGCATGGAAATTAAAATGAGCTTGAAATTGAGCTTATTATAATAGATATAGTACCTTGTGCTCTTGCGATTATGATGCTTTTGGATCTTYCTATGCGTTGAGGACTGTTCTGTAGTCCTTTATATTGAATGATTTCCCATGAGGCTAATGGTGGCAGAGCTATTAATTCGGTTCATGGTCGAGAGCCTTTTGTGGCCTTTCATTAATTGAAATTTTTTAACTTCTATTTTTGCACAAGTGCAGAAAATTATCTTTCCACTTTAATGTGAATTTCTCAAACATTGCCCATCCGTTTTCACTTTGGACACTTTTATTTCGAATGATTTTCAACAACGTTGTTTTTCGGTGTTATCATTTAAGYRAGAAACAGGATAATTRCCTTGTAAAGTGAGTGTAGATTACAAAGTCAAAAAAGTAAAGTTTAATGATGTTGGGATAGCTAATTAGTTAGCTATTGTAACTAATTGTTCTATACAGAGAAATTCTTAGGGACTCTCTGTCTGATTGGCCGAGATCGACGCGGTTTTCCGTCAATTAGAGCATATTGTATGAAAACCAAATCCTAATTCTACACCAATTTTACAATGTAATGAATAAAGAACTCAGTCACTTTCATAGGTTCCTTGGCGACAAGTAAAATCATAATTAAAAAGAGCAATAAAAAAGCTTAGTTTGTTTTCAGTTTTTTGTTTGTTGTTGTTGTTTGATTGGCTTAATTACTGAAATCATAATTATATTTATACACGACTTTAGACTGGAGTGTGTTTTGATTTCCTGAGGGTGAATAAAACAGATACTGACGCAGAATCAAATGYGTACCTTTTCAGCAGTCACGGAGATGAAAAATAGGACTCTATTTTCAAAATTTTCAATACAGTTTTGAGATTCCTTGCCTTTCAGAAATTTCCAAAGCAAAGAGATGAAATCATCTAGGTGTTACGTTTATGTTWAAATTTGAAAGGACATGCAGTCTGAATATCCTGAGCGGAACAAATAATTAATAGACCTCATTTTAATGACAATTTTGTTCCTCGTTCTGGTCAGCGTAGCCTCAATAAAGGCAATGCGGTTGTTGCTCAATAGTCTCCTTAGCGGTTCCCCATGCACAATCTTGAAAGGTAACCGTGCCTTTACATCAAAGCGAGACAACTGTTGGGCTTGCAATGATAGAAACCTGTGAATAATTGTCTGTAGATGTGAAAGAAGCTTTTTATCATTGCAAACTCAACCGTTGTCTCGCTCCGAAGTAAAGGAACGGCTATACATTTTAAGATGGCGCAGGGAACCGTKAAGAAGACTATTAAGTTTGAAAACGATTTTTCCTATTCTAAAACATTGTTTGTTGCAAGWTTAGCAAATAACGTGCTCTGATTGGCTAGAAGAGTCGTATTCAAGATGGCCGTCTAAATGTTAAACATGTTATGCGTGCAAAACAATGAGCAAGTTTAACTTAAACCTTGAAATATTTTTTTATGCACAGCTAGCTAAATGAGTCGACAGTAAAACGAGAAACATCGTTTAAGCCTATAAGCAACATTAACACCGTTGCTCCACAAGGAGCCTGGATGCGAGTAAATGGAGTGATCTGATTGGATGATGCCGATCAGTTTTCTYCGGTCTATATTCTCTTGGGTAGACCGCTGGCGCTCGACTCATTACACTCACAAGCCCGAAAAACTGGTTTGATCGAGAGTGAGTGGGATCAGAGAAGTATACTGTGGTCAATATCAATCTTAAGCCGCCCACTTTATAACCAAAAAGTGGTTCATTTCCTTAGGAAAATGTAGCCACTAATGGCCTTGGAGTCAAGGTCACCAAAGGTTGTGCTATAGAAACCAAAGTCTTAAATTACGCATCATTTTGCACACTTTTTTTTACTAAAACTAACGGAAAAAGAAAATGTCAACCTCGTTCGTCGGCTRAACGTGTATTGTAGCCATCGAGATTCGCGATATCGTGTTTTGAGAAAATAAAGATGAAAAAGACAGGCTTTTCTATTTTTTTCTGCGGTAATGTTTAGTACCCTAAACAGCAAGAAACTATCATGTCAATATTCTTTGAACTCGGACAGAAAGAAAAAAAAATATACACCAGAAAACCTGAGCAAGTAATCAAAGCACACAAAAAAACACTCCTTTCATGAAGAAAGCAATTCAAGAATTAAAGTTGACCTTTTTAGTGAATTATCACGCGRAAATTAAACGAGTAAGAAACTCCTTTCTGATTCTTTGTTCTTCGCGCCCGTGAACTGAATTTATTCAGTGATTGAAACCGCTCAGAGGTATGAGTTGGTTTACGAACATTCTCCGTAGTGTTTGAGGAATGAGGATATGAAAAAAGGAGGAAAGAAAAGTGAAAAAGAAAAGAAGAAAAAGAAAAGAAGGAAAGGAAAGGAAAGTCGATATTTTACCGAAAGCCTGACCCAGAACTCTAGAGAGCATATACTGACTGACAAAGAGAAATATATTCATATACTGACTGACAAAGAGAAATATAAACCAGCAAAGTATATACCTAATAATTAAGTCCGTCATTCAAAAGAACTGTACTAGGGACAGCAACTGAAGAGTTTCCGCCAAAGTTGCGTAAAAATAATTTGACTAATTTTGAAGAGTTTTTTTTGGTGTATTCAATATAGAGTGCACCGTATGTCCTAGTTCTTGTCTAACAGTTGTAATGAGGTATTGTTTCCTTTGTATTCGATTTCCCAAATGCACAGAATGTATCGTTATTTATTTTCATCCGTCTGTGGTGAAACAATTACCACTAGAGCGAACGCACTTAATCCGTAACTGTAYAAAATCTAAGACGGATGAAAATGACTCTACTAAGACTGTTGCAGTTGAATGATAGTCACTAAATTGTCACTAAACAAGAACTATTAGGTAGAAACTATTTAGATTTTATTTCATGGAAATAGTGTAAGCATGCACTCTAACATGATATTCATGTGTATATTCGTACATGTATTGCAGTTAGGGACTGTATTGTATAGTACAATCCTTAGTAGTGACATTAARCTTTCAATTAATCTTCAGCGGAAATCGGTACAAATTAAAAATCACAAACAAGGAGGCAAAATAATGATATCGTCTAGCAATACATGTAACGTTTATTGGACGGATTTCTTGTAAGAAGAAAATTCGTCGTTGGGAGGACCTATCACAGAACATCSCCGTAGCCAGAGGAAAATGATAACCGAGGCACTTTACGCGACCGGCGCAAGCGGTCGTATCTAGGGGGTTCGCGGGGATGCTTCCCCTAAACATTTTGATTTCCACCGTTTTTCCAAGCATATTGTGACTTTTTTATCTKACACCATTGATCGAACCTTTTTGGGGGGATACGAATTAAAGAAATCTCGATAAAAATTTTACCGAGGCAGGTGCCTCGCTTGCCTGATCATAGCTACGGCGCTGCACTATTCGCATACCTAAAACACAAGTGTCTCTACCCAATCAACTATAGAAAGACCCATTTTACAGTGGTGGAAAATTGCACAATTTACACTATAAGTTTTTGGGGAGGAATTCTTAAATAACTCAAATAAAACTCATTCTAGTGAATTTCTAGTCGGATAGTTTTGTTGGTATGTATCACTGTAGCTTTATTGTTGAATAGACAATTATATAAACCATTTACACTAAGCACGTTCAAGACACATCTTAAATAAACGTCCAGTGTCAACACAATGATAGTGCTTCCCTTCACAACTGCATTCGTTTGAATGACTACAAATGGCTCCACGATTGCAACCTTTTTTTCGTAGACTTCTTCTTTCCTTAAAGAAAGAAACCAGCAACCATCAAGTAACATACATTGAATATCATCTACACTAAAGTCTGCAGGATGGATCCTCTTTCATAGTTTTTATTTACGGAAATGATATAATTTTGATGAAAAAAAAAAACATTAAACCGCGAGAAGAAGAAAAAAATTTAAAAAATTATGCCACCGGCGTGACTCGAACGCACCCTGTTTCGGTTTTTCAAAACTATAAACGTAAACCAGTAATATAAATGGCACATAATGGTTGCTTCGGTAAGACGAGGGACTATTTTTTAAAGATTTTGAATATTAATCTTTATATTCGAATTACCAGAGTTAGGACGAATGGAGGTTTTTATCCAATTAGCATTTTTTCAATRCACAATGAATCAGCTGGTTTACCAAATGAGACAGTGCGTTTCATGCTCCGTAACGCGCAGAGAATGACAACAATCTACATTAAAAAATAGCCAAATCCACCTGTGACTGGCATAAAAACAATAAAAGGTGCTAATATAGGGAGTGTACAGGTCGTTTATTTTGAAGGCAAGCAGAGATGTGGTTTATTAAACAAGTCTATAAAAAACCGAGTAAATGAATAAATAAAATAAATAGATATAAATAAAAGAATGAAAAAAGAAAAAGAAAGGGAAAATGCGACTTACTAGGCCATGGAAACGTCTGGGCAAGTTGGATTCTTTGCGTATTTTGACAGGAATGGCTGTTGCTTCAAGCACCAATACAGAGGCAATGACAACAAGAACAAGAAGCGTTTTTGTATTCATGGTTGAGCTGTAAAAACACACAAATCAACTGTTAGCTTATAATGTGAACTATCTTTGGAGGAATCGACAGGGTGGATAGCCAGAAAACCACATCCTCGGGAACCCAGGGGTTATCTTCTGTCGTTCGTTCCGGTAAATCTCTGATTGGTCGAGTGATTCACTCGAACATTCTGATTGGTTGATTAACTTACCGGCCGCCATTTTGAATTTCGGCCGGTAAATTTCTGATTGGTCGAGTGATTCACTCGAACATTCTGATTGGTTGATTAACTTACCGGCCGCCATTTTGAATTTCGAATCGAGAACAAGGTCTAACAGACATCGTGTCCAGGGGTATTTTTTCTGGGAGTGAGGAACGAACGACAGAATATTACCCCTGGATTCCCGAGGATGAGAAAACCACAAAAACACGATAAAGCTTCTTCATCARAAACCGCATCACAAATCACACGACGCCTGAAAGTATCGAAGTTTCATTGAAAACTGAAAAACACAAAACAGGACAAAAGTGAAGCCTAAACCACATAACCGCAAAACTTTGCTCTCTCTGTCTGGTGGAGCTAGTGCCGTCACTGAGGACTACCACTAGTCAATTTTCCATAAAATCTTGGAGTCAAATTGTCCAATAGTCATATGGTCACCAATAAAAGGGCACTGAAAAAAAGTTAAAGGGAAAGGCACCAACCGATTTTGATTTTTTTGAAGTTAAAAAAAGTTCGCAAACAACTGAATCAAAATAGTAATGTGTAGATGAAACTCAAGTTTAWTTATCTGCTGCGAATGCAATTTGGTGCTCTTTTACTTTACGAACAGTTTTTACTTTAGGAAAAGTAATGGGTTTTCATATATACTATAAAAAACTTAATACACGCTTTATGCTGTATCTTGGTAAAGTCATCTGTAAATCCAGTAGCCTAGTGATAAGTATGCCCATTTCAATCAAAAGAAGTTCGATGAGACTCAGTTCAGTTCAGTTCCGTTTTCAATTTAGTACGGTGAATTGTTACCAGGACATTAACTCTTTCCCGTCCGCCCCTTGAAATTTAGGTCGAATTCGACCTATGCGTCAAAAATCTATAAGTTGCCGAAATAGTAAGCTAGAGCCCTGAAATTACTAGTAGATACTGTCGATCTTACAGTTGAAAGAATTTCGCAACGAGGAAACAAAAGACACAAAACATGACTCTGCTTTGAAATSAATGCAAAAATCTGAGTTTGAAGGACGGCAGAGTACACTGATTTTCATCTCAATTTGTAGCGTCAAAATATGTTCTCCTAGCAAAAAGTCCACTTGGTTTGCAGACCCCTTTGATAGAACGTCCTCATTTCGATGTTTTTATTTTGTCAAATGCACTGCAGATTTTTAAACAGCCCTCTTTTGATGACCAGGTACAACAAACTTCTACGAACGATCGAAATGCATCATGGGAAGACGGAAAATTTGGACATAAATCGTGCAGCATTCTTCTTTTAAGAATTTTTTAATAAGTGTGAGCTCCCCCGCACCTACAGGCAAAATATCGGGCCAATTGCATTCTTTTATTGTCAAATATTGCCAAAATTACCTTGGTAGGTTGGAAAATCTGCCACAGATGGACCAGGAAAGCGATCTTACAATGATGTCTCCAGTTCAAAACAAACCGTGACTTGGAGCCATTGTCTTCAAAAAATCGCTTTCCACCTCTGATTTCTTCCGGAAGATTGTCTCTGCCGACTAGTCAAGCTTAATGATGCAAGCCTAGGGGATCCTGTGGCAGCAAAAAGCTAAAAAAACAAAATTATAAACGGGTTTTTAGGTAAATTTAGGCTCAACCAGTCGATAAACAAACGGTCTGACCTATTAAAATTTACAAAGCCCTGCATAAATTAATGCTCCCTAGGGAATTCAAATCCGAAAGCTGGGATAGTAATTTCGTTTGATTGTTTGAGCATGAATGTCAATTAATCGATRATCGATTATACTTCAATTTTTCTTTGTTTACTTTTATTTTGGTCAAACTTTATGAAAACTGGTGTAATAGCATTTGGAAAATGAAAACGCAAAAGTGCCATCAAATAATTGTGCTAAAGGTCTTGCTACACAAGTTGCTGGAAGATTTGAACAGTGCAGGGGTCGTCTCGCAAATTGTCTTGTCGCGTGCCATTATGCACTATACTAAGTAGAACTTAATTAACTCAAGTCTAACTCATTTTTTTAGTWACSAGCGCTGTTAGAGCATGCGTAATTTTTTATTTCGAATGTCCGCCATCTTGATTCTGGCTCCCAGTCTACCTCAGCCAATATATATTTCAATTACAGGGCTATAATTTTGWGCTCAAGTTGTGCTGCAACGGCGTTAAAAAGAAAAGTGGCTTACAATAAAGCACAATGCAACATCGCCTTCAACCTTCAGTTCTTCACTGTTTGCGCATGCGTCTACTTTATTTTGGTATTGTTCATGACACCAAACAAAAAGCAATGCCGCGTCCGAATAATGATATACCGTACGGAGACAATTATCGTTGCAGAAATTTCCGGTTACGCGTTGACAAGACATATTTCATGAAAAGGGGCGAAAAGGCGTGGGGTCTATACCGACGCAAAACATTCGTTTAACTAAAACCGTTAGCTTTTTCGATATTCTTAATTCCAAGCGAAACCGCACATAGGAGTGCATTGAAACCTTGAACCCGAGCGACATGTTCATCCGTAAACCGCGCCATAAAAAATGAGTGCACGGAAAACGGTCAAGCCACCGCTAACCTATAATAATAAKGAGACTGTTACTCTACAAGACATTACAGGAATTTATATACAAAAATAGTACATATAGGCATATTGATCGTTTTCATGAATTCCCATGAGATCTTAAACGATAAAAGATCGGCGGCCATGTTGGAGAAATGGACAACGGATGATATTAATGATAAATCATAAAAAAAAGAAAAAAAAAGAAAAAAATATCCACACATGAACTTAACTTTAAAAACGATAGAAGTGATTTATTGCGAAAGGTTTCAGCTCCAGTTTGTATTTCAACGGATTTGAATTATGGCCACAGTGCGCAAATTCAAAAAATGTCCTGCTTTCATAAAGGCGTAATTTACATTCATTATTATTGTCGAAAACAGATATTTTTGTGCGTTAAGTTCGGCACGACGAAAGCTCGATGTTTAAATCAGCGTCGAGCTTTTGCAGTGCAGCACGACTTGCGCTGCCGTGCCACTGCCGTTGTACGCTCGCGCCGAACTTCATACGTCTAGCTCTTCATGTGCTAAATTCAAACTATTTGGTTCGGCGCGACGCTGGCTCGACGTATGAACCGGGCTTATAAGAGAACGTTTCTTATCAGATTGGAGTAACAGCGCGCGTGCAGAATGAAAATAGAAAATTTACCGCAAGGKAAAATCATATAACAAAATATTACATTTTATATTATGAAATTGTAACAAGGTCAATATRCATTTATTTTTACCTGATGATAAACTGCCAGGGAATTGCCTCGTAGTCAATATAATTCCTTCTCGCCAAGTCAAGCTTCCGTGCAAGCGTTGWACTAAATCATATATGTACAATTAMGAAGAAGGCACTTTTATAATGGTGACGATTCTAGCAATGAAAATAAGCCTGTTTGTACAGCGAAAAGGTCACTGCTGTAACTACGCTACAACAAATGCGAACAGAGAGGATACAGGAACTAGGTCAAAGACCAACGATGATCTCTCGTGGTCACGTTTGAATGACGCTATCACTAATTGTGAAAGTGAGGTATAATACCGTGACAATGGTGGCTCGTGATTACCTATATGTACTGTACGCTTTGACTAAAAATTATAACACAAACAATACAAAACAAAAAAAAGAAAATCTACTGTAGGAAAAGGAGTGGAAATGGTAAAAAGAAAAGTGGCGGACGCCCTTGAGGCAAGCACTAGGCTTTGTCGTTCAAGTCACAACAAATATTTGAAAACTTAACTCGGATAAATATAGATAATCTATATGTAGAATACGATTGATGCCCACCTCTCAGCATAGAAAAGCAATTCGGTGTAGATGTAGTTCGACAAGATTTTACGATGCAGAATATCACTTGAACTTCGTATTGTGCAAATTTTTAGAGATTTATTGACTTATTAGGGTAAATATTCATTCAGCTTGAAACGTMCTTGCTTAAAGCAAATTGCAATGTTTCATTTCAGTCCCAAAAGAAATACCAATTTCCGKTTCCGGGTTGAATATGAATAATTACCGCCTACAATGGGATTGGTTGTTTTACTTTCGATTAGACTACAGGTCGTTAAATATGTTTCAGTCTTCTTTGTTTTGCCTGCATAGCGGCTCTAGGGGATGGGGGAAGGGGGRAAAACGCTACGTTACGCAGGCTAGCTATAATCAAAACAATAATATACACTTCATTCAAAACATAATTATCGGTTTTTAAGAAACCTCAGGGTGAAAGGCGAATCTTAGCAAGTTACAACAGGCAGTAGTGATTCATTGTTACTAAATATCCATGACCAAATAAGCTAAACAAACACCGATGAATCCTTGGGTCTCGTGATTGGTGTGTGGGTGGCCAGCGACAGCCTCCGCTGCAGACGTCTTAATAAGAATACGTAGAATACAGCATTTCGTCTTTTTTAACGCAAAAGGAAAGAGTGGCTAGTCAATTCTTATCTATGTTTTTTTTTAATATATGCCTTTCAATACCTATATAAAGTCAAAAGGTAATCTCCCAAGAAAGTCTAAAAAAAAGAAAAATAGTTCGTCGAAGCCCTTGCGTCACCTTCGAACCGGATATTTTCATACTACGTAAAACAWGTATTACGTAATACAGTCTTACGTCTTGGAGCTGTACAGCACCCTTACGCTGACGTCGGTAGTCGTCCGGTGTTACAACTCGAACTACATACAACGTCTGCAATGGAGGTTGTGCAACAAATMAGTTGAAATTGAATTATAATCAACTCTATCGATTTGAGGTACTGCATTCAGTTGTATATTCTCAGTATTACCGTTACGGGATGGCACTAAGAGGTGTCATGACGTAAATCATGCCCTTAATTTATGATGACATTCATGTGGGGTTTTCATGTCTGTTATCGCAAGTGATTACTAGTAATAGTCAGTTCTAAGGATAGATTTAGAAATAACATTATTAACACTGGTTTACAATCACGTGGGCTAGACTTTGTAGCTTATTTTTAGCAGTCAGTTCACATCGAAAGCGCTACTGATCGCTTTCAACATGCCTAAGATATTCAAAAGAAAAAAGACCGGCGGCCAGCATGTTGGAGGAATGAACAATAGATACTAATGAGAAATCCTTTGTTGAAGTTCCTCCAAGATGACCGCTGTGACATATAGTGGAAACAAAGAATATAGTGAAAGGTTTGGTACTCTCAATGATTTAATAGGATGAGAAAATTAAAGATGTCGCTTTTCAATTCCCGCACCGTGTTGTCATATTCTCGCATCCAAACTGAGATCACCAATTATGCTCATTAGAGYAAAACCGCCCATTCATACCATGCATACAAACGATAAACCATCCCGAYTCAAGAATGGTGACACCCAATCACCAAAGAACATAAATAAGCCTTTTTCCTGTTCAAAGCGAGCGACCGCTGTTTTAGTAGACAAAAGACTCACTTGCGCAGAGACCTTACTACTAATAAAAAAATGTTGATATTACGACAGCTCTAGAAATTTGAATTTCCTCCGATTTGAGGCTAATCCTGTATTCCAACACTGTAGAGTATAAGCCTTCTGCGAATACGGGATTAGCCATTCTAAGTTCATTTCTGTTTATATTTTGTTACTGCCTGTCTGATTGAGCTGTTTTCTTGGGTATTTCTGTATCTTATTTGTGCAGCCTTAACATCGAAAGCATGTAATATATTCTTTTATTCGGCAGAGAATCTGTTGTAATACAAACACTCTGTGTACACTAATAAGACAATAATCAATTTATGCTTGATTGAAGCTAAGTTTGCATAAAAGAGAAATCGAAACTGGAGTATTAAGATATCATTTCGTTCTTTCTGCTGTTGTTGGGAAGGTCTGCGTATGAGAAAATGTTGTCAACTAAAACTGTGATCGCTCGCTTTGAACGGGAAAATGCGTTTTTAGGGCTGGTTCAAAGTACAACCGAGTCACATAAAGCTGGCCATTATTGTTTAGGTAAAAGTCAAAATTTATTATATTCACGAAATATTCACGAAATTTACTGCAAATTAAARTTGAAATCCTCAGCTTTGTCGAAGTTTTACAGCTTTATCACAAAGTGCCTTTAGATCAAGTGAGATCCGTCATAAAGTTTTCATTCTAAGATTTCAGTTACTATACCAGTCCCCACCGTCCTGCCTCCCTCTCTTAGCGTGAATCGAAGCCCGGTCTCTAACGGCATGTCAAACATCAACTTGATGGTCAACTGGGCATTATCGCCAGGCATAACAAATTCACTCCCCTCGGGGAGGGTGATGGTGGCAGGTACATCACCAGTACGGAGAAACATCTGAGGGGAGTAGTTAGTAACGAAAGGAGTGTGACGACCACCTTCTTCTTTCTTCAGTATATACACCTGAAAAACAAGAACGTTAAATTATGTCAAGTACAGWGAAGTCTTAATTTGAATAACTAGTCACTTTTACTCAAACATTTCCCCAATAGTTTCGACGCTCAGAAAATACCAGTAAACCTAGCCTCCTCCACACTCATCAGTAAGAATCACGGGCTYCCTGTCTTTTTTGGGAATCAGAAGAGAGAGAATGGGGTGACAGAGGTTATTTTCCACTACATGTATGACACTACATTTATGCAGGTTTTTAAATACGCGCATTCGTTTAATATGAAAGATARGTTTACAGATATGGATATTGCTTTAAATTGTAAATTCGGAGAGAATAGTTTCAACACACGACACTACATATGATCAGTAAAGACGAGCGAYTCGTYGTTTCGATACGAGCGCTGGTATAAAATAMGCACATAAACTTACTTGAGCAGTAAATTTAGTATGAGAACTGACTGAACCAGGAGCGCAAAGGACTGTTCCACGACGAACATCTTCTCTTTTAACACCGCGAATTAAAGCTCCTAGRTTATCACCTGCCTCTCCTYGATCAAGAAGTTTGTGAAACATCTCAATACCTACAAGCAATGTTAAAACATATCAGAAGGAATATAAAAACACACGACTGTACAGCAACAAAGTCATTTGCATAAAAACTCCCGAGAAGTATTTTAATGGTTAAAATTCCAGTATTATTGTAACGACGTTTTTCTGCTTGCTGTAAAGCTGAATATTCTTGCAATAATACAAAAAGTATGATATGGGAATAACTGTATACAGTATTTGAACGATTTGCGCCGTTAGGGGAGAAATATGGGGAGATCATGTCCACAAAGTTCACAAAGTTGCGCATGTAAAAATGCTGCTCAAATAAAAGAATTAAATAAAAAAACAACACAATTCCCACTAGCGATATTGAAAATGATCAATACACACTGTACTCAAGTAATAGTTTCGAGTATAAATAAATAAATAAATTTTTATTTATTTATTTATTTATTTATACTCGAAACTATTACTTGAGTACAGTGTGTATTGATCATTTTCACCCATTCCCATGAGATTCAAAAGATAAAAGACCGGTGACCATGTTGGAGGAATGAACAATAGATACTAATGAGAAATCCTTTGTTGAAGCAATTGAAGTTCCTTCAAGATGACCGCTGTGACGTAACCTGAAAACGAAGAATAGTCGGAAATGCATAAATGTTATTTACCGGCTGGGAGGTCCGTATAGGAAAACACTGCCCGAGGTCTTGACAGTACGGAACGAGCGCAGCGAGGTCCGCACATAAAAGTCCGAGGGCAGTGTTTTCCTATACGGACCTCCCAGCYGGTAAATAACATTTATGCATTTCCGACTATTCTTCGTTTTCAGGTTACGTCACAGCGGCCATCTTGGAGGAACTATAGCCGGTAAATAACATTTTTATTTTTTCTATTTGTATTTTATGCAACTTTGCTCGCAGGCTAGCTGCAGGATACCGTCGGACCGGGCAGATCGTTAAAAACCGGACCGCGCGCTAGCCAATCACAGCGCGCGAATGACTAGGATACCGGACCGAAAAAAAAAAATTAAATTATTTCTTGGTGTTGAAATTTATCTTCTTTCTTTTTTTTAGAAACAACAACGCAGCTCACATTAGTTTACCACTATTTTCCATCACTCAAAAAAATGGCTGAAGATGTGTAATATTTGTCTAAACGGTCTAAGTTGACATGGGCCCGCTTTGATAATTACCAAAATAAAATATATACTGTTAATGTGAATTTTAAACCTTTTTCATATGCCTTATTTACCTGTAACTGTTGTCTTTATCTTGGATTTGTGTCCAACAATCTCCACCTGATCACCTGTCTTTACAACACCTCGTTCAATTCTTCCAGTTACTACAGTTCCTCGTCCAGAAATTGAGAAAACGTCTTCAATGGGAAGCAGAAATGGCTTGTCAAGTTGTCTGTCAGGGGTTGGGATGTGGGTATCAATGGCATCAAGGAGTTTCATTATTGCATTGATTCCCATGTCAGGGYTTTTTTCTTCTAGAGCACAGAGAGCTGATCCAATGATTATAGGAGTATTGTCACCATCATAATTGTACTCAGTTAAAACCTCACGCATTTCAACTTCAACCTGGAAATGATAGAATATTGGAGTTTTTATATTGTTTTTACCAATGGGTTCCTTAGTGTAGCACTTCCCATTCACCTGCCCTGCCCTGAAATCCCCTTCCTTTCTATCCCTCCCCTCCCCTCATTACAAAACAAAGCAATAGAGAAAAAAAAAACAAAAGAAAACAAAGAAAAAAAACACTAGCACAAACCAAAACTAGAAAACAACACAAAATAAACAACAGCAACAACAACAGAGAAAACAAAAGAAAAAGCAAAATGCAACACTCAAACAAAACAAAACAACAAAGTAAACAACAAAAAAACAAACAAACCAGAAATAGAATATTATTAATAAGATAATAAAAAAATACAATGTAAGAAATCTAACCAACAGCATCTACATTAACTATGTTATATTATTTTCTTACCAATTCTAATAGCTCTGGATCATCAATTACATCAGCTTTGTTAACAAAAACGACAATATTTTTAACCCCAACCTAAAAACCATAAAATGGAAAGACATTAMGATCTGGTAACAACCCAGTGTCATAATTACAGATAATGGACTTCATAATGTCAGTATTGTAACCTGGTTTGCTAGTAATAAGTGTTCCCTGGTTTGAGGCATTTGACCATCAGTTCCAGCAACTACCAAAATAGCTCCATCCATTTGCGCTGCTCCTGTGATCATGTTCTGAAACAAAGTGGGGATCATTTAACATAAAATTCAAGGACTTTTGTCTTTTTTTTTTTGCCCAATGATGTACAGCTTTGAAGARCAGTTAGTTGTTTGGGATTGAACACTTTAGCTTCTCATTTGCTGTATCAAAATGTTTTTCATTTTCTCTATAATATTATGAAATAATAAGTCTAGTAATTTTCAAACTTATAAACTTTGACTCCAACAAAGAATTGATGTCCAAAACATCAGAAGTTATTYTTACACCTAATGTACTTTTTACAGTGTTAAACTTTACCTTATTTCACACTGTTAATGTAAACTTATAATTATGTTTTKAAATGAAAAATTGCTTAAAAAAGASATTCAAATGGCAGTGTTTTTAGACTCTAACCTTGATATAGTCAGCATGTCCAGGGCAATCTACATGTCCATAATGACGTTTATCAGTCTCATACTCRACATGCGCAGTATTGATGGTTATTCCACGTGCTCTTTCCTCCGGGGCATTATCAATATCTCCATATGATTTGAAGTTTGCTGATCCCTTCTCAGCCAAAACTAAAAAAACAAATTGCCACAAAAAATATTCAATGTATATTCAAAATTTGTTCACCTTCACCTTTTACTCTTATACAGTGTGTTAGTCTCAATTATATATAATCGCAATAATCTAGATAATTTAACTCTTGAGATTTCAAACAATTTTCATTCTCTGGTATAATCACAGATATCTTGCATTTTTAAGGTCTGAATAAAAGAATGTAATATTTTACATGTTTTCGAGGCTATCACTGTGTAAAAGAGATTGCTAACAGRGTTTATTAACAAAAAGAAATAAATTTCTTCAATATGAAAATTAGGTTATAACAATAAGTCTGTAGTAATGTTACATGAATTTATACTTTTTGTTATGGCTGCAGTTAGTGTAGTTTTCCCATGGTCAACATGTCCAATYGTTCCAATGTTAACATGTGGTTTATYTCTTGYAAAGGTTTTTTTTGAAGGTTCAGCAGCGTAACATCTTACTAATAATCCTGTTAACAAAACACAATTAATTATGTATGGATTATAACATATGAATAAATAATTTATAATGTACTTTATTATATAATACTTCAAGTCAATGATGTGAGATGGGAAAAACTATGGGAAAAAATGTTACTGTAGACATCATTCAACTGAAAGTTATTTTCATYACTTACTAGGAGTTGAGAGAACTCTTATTCCAGTTCTGTTGATATTCTACATTGCATATGAAAATAAAATAAACATATCAAATTAAAATTATACTAAAATAAGSGCTTTTAGAATTTAAACATAAATGTTTTACATAGCCTACAAACACACTGTTTTTATTAGTTATACAAGTATGAACCTTTTCCTGGAACCAGAGTCTCTGATCTGGTACATAAAAAAATAATCAGAGTTGCCACCCTGGTGCAAATCCTTGACAGTATCCTGTTGGATGTTATTTAGGAATGGGATCCTCAATAGAATCCTATGTAGAAACAGGATCCTAGCTAGGATAGGATCTTACACAGCATCACATTCTTATGTAACATCCTAGTATAAGTGAATAAAGACTTTATTAAAATATGTCTATCCAATCAAGGACTAATAAATTACAATGTACAATGAAGACTATAGTTTATATTCAATTATAAATTTTTCTATATATATAACGCACACTCTGATTGGCTGACGACCGTGTTTATATCAGA